CTGAGTCCATTCTACCTGCAAGGACAGAGAGAGAGAGCAGGTACAGAAGTGAATGCGAAATGAGTCTGTGGGTGTATATCAAAATGCTCAGAACTCTTTACAGCAATTGGAAAAAGTGGATGCTATTCAGTAAAATGTTTTAACCAAAATGGACAAGAGTATTAAAAATATGCAATTTGGCCCTGCATCTCAGTAATGGATGTGAAATTGAATAACTAGCCAAATTTCTCATCTCTATAGATCAATAAATTTCCAGGGACAGAATAAAAAGGTATAATATAAACATAATATAAACATGTTTCAATCTCGCTTCATTCAGTTACATTTCAATCAATTACATATTCTGTTTTGTAGGAATACAATTTTTAATCCTTATATTTGGTGATACTGGGAGCTTATATCTTTTTCTTCAGAATACTTGTTAAACAAAAGTAACAAAAAGTCCAAGTATTGATAATCCTTCTGAGAAAGATGTAAAAGATGTAGCTTGATGGAAGAACTTTGTACAGCTTGTTGCATATGGATTCAAAGAAAAATGGCTTTAGTTAAAAGCTAAGATAAAACTAAAGTGACAAATGCTAAAATGTCTTTGTTTTTGTGTGAGTGTAGGGCTGCATTGGACATGAATTGGACTGAATATAGAGAAATTTGTAACTTTTAGCCTTTGAAAACTGTCATTTCACAGTAAATGCACAAAGATGTACTAACAATTTAGAAATGTACAGTCTTTCTCAGTGTTTTTGCCATGCAATTTGTATGTAAAAGTATGTGCTTTCCCTCCTTTTGCTGACATTTTTGGCAATATGCATCATTCAGAGGTGTACTCCATGTGCTCCAGAGATCAGTAGCTACCCTTTGCTTTCAGTATTCTCTCATCCAATATCTTAAATGGTCAGGAAAAGAAATCTTTTTCTCTTCATCAAAGGTGTTGCTTCATTTTGTTTTTTGTCAAATTTATATTCACATTTGTAGTAAAGATCAAAAATAAAAACAATGAAAGAAAGTGTCACAGCTCAGTAAACTATCAGCTCATTACTGGGAGTGGTCATTACTACAGAGCGGTTGATTTGCAGTGGTGTCACACACTGCAGTGGTGAAGACAAATTTTTCTTGTCCCTTCTGTGCTCAGAATCTCCCCAGCAGCTCTATGGCTCCATGTATCTTGCAGGCTACATACAATATGAATTTCCATTCCCCTGCCACCTCTCACTCTGCCATTTATATAATTCTCACACTGCCATCAATACCTCAACTCCTCTTGTTTTTGATAGATGAGCCCTGCATTTCTGCTGAGCTGTTTGGCTTGGAGGAATATTTGAAAAGTAAAACAAATGAATGGAAAAAGTAAGTCATGGCACTGGTCCTTGTAAGCAGCTAACAAACTAAACAGGTTTTGATAAGTAAATTTTGCACGGCAAAGTTTTTTTACTTCACAAAGTGGAACTATGAAATTTCTTTAATGCGAGCCTCTTTTATAGACTCTTTTCAAAATTTGACAGACTAGGTATGCAAAGCAATTTGTTGAGATAAATAGTGAATAATTAGAGTTACTAATCCATGAGATCCATGAAGGAAATGTTTCTGAAAGTTCTCTAAAAATGTCAATACATCCATTACAAAATGGATGTATTAACAAAATTCAAGGAAATTTGGTCTTCTTATGGAGAACTGGTACACACTTCCCTTAAAAAAAGAGTGATGTATAATTTCTGTAAAAAATTGAAATGACATCTTAGCTGTGGATGGGTAATAAGATTAATTTTGAGATTGGCCCAGTTGGTTAGAGCAGGGTGCTAATAATGCCAAGGTTGTGGGCTCGATCCCTGTATGTGCAATTCACTTAACAGCTGGACTTAATGATCCTTCTAGGTGCATTTAAACTCAAACTATTCTGTGATTCTATGATTTATGAAAAGGTGCAAAATCTGCTTTTCCAGAGGCTTGTGGGGAGCGAATATTCAACCCTCATGTGCCAAAACAGCACCTTTCTGCATATGCATTCAGAAAGCTGCCTTCACTCAAATTGTTCACATCGCTCTAAACATTGTCAGAGCACCAATATAATCATACACAGGACACAGCTCTGAAGCAACACTGTAGAATTTCTAATGCCACAGTACTCTTAGAGAAGGCTAAGTGGCAAGGAAAAGTGAAAAAAAAGTCATAAAAGTGCACGGAAGTCCAAAGCAAGTCCCCAGAAAGCACCAGGCTCACAGATGTTCCAAGAAGTGAAAGAGTAGTTAAGTTTATTAGATAAACATTTTTGGTAAATAATTAACAGGTCAGCTTCAAAGTATAACTCAATATAGACTGCTTGTTTGTTTTCCTTTTTGTGACAGTGATGGTTTGCTTTTAATGTGCAATAAAAGGTTATGTCAGGTAATCCTGGCACAATACAGTGGGAGATTGATCCATTTAATCAGTTGCATTGATATAATTTTTAATTTCAAGTTACTTTCTGAGAAGTATCCATGTTTCATGGGATCACAAACAAAACAGCCTCTATTTAATAGTTATGCATACACAAATGTTATATTAATGCTATTTTTAAGGTCATAGTATTATTAATTCAAGGGGCTGGAAATGTACATTTTGTAAACACATTTTTACAAAATTGGGAATTATGTATTTATTTATATATTATTTATTTCATAGGGCCCCTGCCTCTTCTTGGATAAAGCATGGATATGAACTGAGTTTGTTATATTCAAGAGACTATAGCATTATTTAATAGGACTACTTCCATATTCATGACAGAATTTGAGAAGTGATGCAGCCAAGGCTTTCAGGGAGAAAATAATGGGTCAGTGGTTAAGGCAATTGAATGCTGTCTTGAAAGTTAAATAGCAACCTTGCCCCTGAGTTTGTAATTGATGCTATGTGAATTTCTTTATCGCAGGTGGCCACTAACCAAGTTTTTCAGTGTCTGATTGAGAATCTGATTTATCAACACAGTGAGTACTTAAATCTGGATCTGAAGTAAATGACAGCTATAAGTGGGTAAATAAACAATGGCATTGGACAGTTATAAAAAAATAAAGTCTTAAACAGCCCTCATATGAGACGTGTAAGATTTTTGGTAAATTTTATCTTGGCTCCTCTGGATCTCAGAATTCCCTCTTGTTAGCTGAAGATAACATCCTGCCTTGGTTTTGTAGCAATACTTTAAAATAATTGTGCCAGTATTTTAGAAACAGTCTGCCAGAATGACCATGCAAGAAAAAACACTTGGGAAACCTGCAGTTCTACATTCAGAGGATGCTGTATTCTTACTAAAAGAAAATACAACAGATAGGACATAATGACAGACTAAGTGAGAGAAATAGTGGAAAATTTCTCATTAAGTAAGCCCTTTCTATTCCAGTGCATTAAAAAAGGCTCTAAACCAAAAGTGGTAGATGAGCATGTATACCAAATGATAAAGCCAAATTATACACATGCAGCCGTGAAACAACTGAAAATTTTACAGACCTGGTGTTCCCCAGCTCCTGAGTATTTTGGCACGGCCCTGAAATGGATGGATGTTTGTGAGGCTTGCAAGAGAGAAAATTATGTCTGTTTCCTTGTAAAATACAAAGCCTATACCATGGGCATGTTAGAGCCTAAACAGCTTTTCTGATAATGTCCTTGACAAACCAATGAACATTACCAAAACATTTAAACAGGATTTTAAAGCTGAAAGACAAAAGCAGATCCAATAAATGATAATGTTACCAGCTCTGTCTAGGACACAATGCTATCACTACAAATGCCCACCCTCACAGTCCAAGAAGACCATTTCTTATGGCTCTTTGGGAAGATCCTTCCTCTCTTTCAGGAATGGATCTGACAATTCAACAGAGTGCTCAGTATGAGGGCATTTATGGTGACAAAAACAAATGGGATGTTGCAGAAATTTATTGCCTTCAAATGGAACAAGACTGAAAATGGAACTTGATTAGAAGAAGCTGCAACAGTGAGTACTACTACTCTTACAGTGTTTTTTCACATAACAGGATAAATGTATGGGGTAACTGGTGTTAGTGCTTGGTATAAAGTCATCTGCAAGGAATATCCTGTGTCTATCTTGCAGATTTCTCAGTGATGAGCCTTCAGTCTTTGCTCAGGAGAGACCACCACATTGTCAAGACTGACAGCACATCAGTAAAAAGGCCTATGAAAACACACTCTGCTTGCCTGTTACAAATGCTGTGTGGGTACTGTTTTAGAGGTGGTTTCCCTGCAGTGTGGTTTACACTGTGATAAATATGCTAAGAGCTATTATGAGCTATGTCCTTAACATTTGAGATAGAATTCACTATTCAAGCAGATGTGACAGTAACATCCTACCACACACACTTCACCTCTGTGTTCTTACCCACAGCCCCTGCTAGGGAAAGAAAAAAAGGACAAAAAGTTTTGCTGTGGAGCGGGAGCAAACCAAATAGCCAAAGCTATTTGTTACTTTTTCTCTTGACAGTTCTGAAAGGTGAGGTCACACACTGTTGGACTAGCTTTGCCATACAATATGATTGCAGCAATGAAAAGGAGCTGTGCATTTATCATGGGAATGTAAAAGTAGTTTTGTGATCTGTCTTGGACTTCATTTTAATTTTACCAAGACTACGCGATCACAGTTTTAATCATTACCGTGAGAGTGGAGATAATTCGTTTGGCTTCACTAAAGAAATCAGTGTATATGCATAGCCACGTTCGCGATTCTGAACAAAAATCTTTATCCAAACCGACACCTGTCTGCTCTTCCCATTGCCCATAGGGACGAGAATATTCAACGCAGCAGCTCCCAGGCCCCACTGCAGCGATGTGCTCGGGACCACAGGCAGGAGCGGGCACCGAGGGGCCGCTGCGGGGACGCGGGAGCCGCCGGGGCTGTCCCGGGCCGACCCGGGCGGTGCAGGGCGGCCACGGGCTCCGTCCCCTCCCATCCCCTCCCGTCCCGCCTGTGCCACCACCCCCGGGCGGGGGGAGCTGCCTGCCCGTCCCATAAAGGGCGGCCGCGGCCCCTCAGAGGCTCGGTGCAGAGCAGGGCCCGGGTTCTGCCTCTGCACGGCCGCTGGCCCTCACGCAGGTGAGCCGCAGCGACGGGACAGCGCTCCGCTCCCCCGCCGGGCACCTCCTTCCCTCGGCACAGAGCTTCTATCCTTTCCTCCGCAGGCTCCTCCCGGAGAAAGCCGGATTCCCCGTCGAGTCGCCGCCATGGCCTCCGTCCCGTCCGCCGGCTGCCTCCTGGCCAAGAATCAGTACTACAGGAGTGAGTGCTCGGCGGGGCGGGAGCTTGTCCCCAAACACACCCCTCGCCCTTCTCTCCCCTCTTCCTCTCTCCCTGCCTGGGGAGCGCCTCTGGAGGAGGAAGGCTGAGCCCCCGAGCCTCTCCCGAGAAAGTGGCCGGGTTGTTGGCACTTGTGTTTGAAAGTGTCAGAAAGTGTTTCAGGTGATGTCTAGATGAGCTGGAGGCAAGGAGTTGTCTCTGCCTAAATAGCTTTTAATTTCTTGGAGAGTTTTTCATATCACAGAACTTTGGTTTTAATGACCATCTGCTTCTGGTTATTTATCTACCTTTATTTTTAAAATTACTCTACTTAGAATTATTTATTAGTGTCTTATATATATATATCTATCTATATTTATATATATATGTATATATGTATAAAACATGACCTAGTAGAAGTGCTAGCCTAGCAAGTCATGGTTTCTACCTTTACTTCCTATTTACTTTACTTCCTATTTACTTTGGAAATCTAGGCACAATACAAATCAATTCACATTTTTTGTTTCTAAATATGTAAAATAATCACTGCTTTTAGAGTCCACGTGGTGTGTTAGGATTTGTAGGTCCACGATGGACACTAATGGGAGTGTAGTATTTAGTTGTGTCATAAGGGAAAGCATGGCAATTGGGTTGTTGTGGACATGGATGTTCAAGGATGTACTTGCTTGTCTTGACAGCAGTGTGGCCATGATCAGTGGCTTTGTCAGTGATTTCAGTGAAAGTTATGCAGACAGATCTCAGTATGCTTTTAAGGGAAGTATGAGTAGAGTGAGAGAGAAACTGATATCAAAGTTCTTATGAAAACTGTAGTAGACCAGTTACACTCTGTGGCTCAGTGAAATTGTTTCCTCTGAGGTAGCAGCATGTCTGAAAAGCTCCTGACATATAAAGAGTGCACTCTCTCAAAGCACTTTTTTTTTTTTTTTTTTTTTTTTTTTTTGCGTGTGTCTCTGTTTTCCATGAACAGCAAGACTGAACTCGGAATCCAGCGTTTCTTCCAGCTCCTCCTGCTGTTTGGATGCTGTGAACATCACAGACCAGGACAAAGCATTGCATGGTATTGTTCCCTTCTTTGAAACACTTTTCAGTTTTTCCTGTTATTCATCCAGTGTCTAACGTTGTGGGCTTTTCTCCTTTGGCAGGGTTACCAGAGTTAATTGATAAACATTGGTGGATAAAAAACTTCTTCCACAGTGAACCCTCTCCACCCACTGTTGGCAGAAAAACACTCTCAGCAAGCAGGTGAGTCCTGCTTTTAAAACAGGGGATAACTTACTTGCTCTGCTTTCCTTTTGGTAACAGTGTTAGTAAACAAGTCATAATCAGCTAAAACCATCTGGTGAGGTGCAATGCTGTTTTGATGATTTAAGTAGAATATACATCAAGTGCAATGCTATGCAACCTTTCTATGTTTTCATTTTAACAAATGAACTCATATGCTACTTCACATTAGGCAGGTGGCAGTGCCTATTACTGTTTCACACTTATGGTGATGTTTATTTAATCATGTACCTGTACAACTTGCACAACCATTTATACAGTTTGGTCATTTTACTTTCTGTTAAAAAGCTGATATGAATGCCTTAAAAATACTTAGGCAGATAAATAAATGTCTTTGAGGTAAATACAGTGAAAATTATGTTTATAACCTTTATAAATATGTTTCCACAGTACCAACAGTTGAAAAGGACAGCATGATGGCTTTTCTGACTGAGATGCTACATACAGACTTGTTTTTCCAAGAGGCTTGGGATCTTCCTAATGTCTGGGTTCAGCTGCAAGAGGAAAACAAAACCTTTAGGAGAGTGGAAAAGTGTATTTTCAAAATATTTTTTCAGTAGCTAAAATGATATTGCTTAATGTATGTATCCATGGCCTACTGTGTTCTTTCCAGATTTGCCATAATTTGTGATGTCTCTCTAATGAAAGTTTCCAGGAATAAACATCCTGAGGACTCAAATAATTAGAGAAAAGTGACAGAAAAAATAAGACATCATAGATTTAGGAGGAAGATGTGTATTGAATGACTTTGCAATAGGTGATTCAGTTAAGTTGCCTTTAAGATACCAGCTCTATAGGCAGTCACACTGATGTAAGCAAGATTAAGATCTATAATTCAGAGTAGGACTGCTGTGTGGCACATGTCTTTTATCCAGTATTTGTGTACCAGTTACAGGGTTTAAGTTTACAAGAATGCTTGTCAAAGCTTTGCTTTCAGAAAGCCCAGTTATATGAACAAGCAATAATCAGTTTGGTTTCTTTGATCAAGCGGAGTGCATAGATCCCAACTTCAAATACCCAGGTACCACTTTCATTCCTACCTATGTATGTATGCTGGTATTTGAGGACAGAATAGAGGAGAGGAACAAGAAACCAGTAATCCTAATAGAAACTGACCTTTTCCAAGGATAGGAACAACCATAATCAGAGTTGATACTTCTAGTTTGTTTTAGATTTCTTCTGCCTCCTTTGTTGTGGCTTAAAGACCTACTTGTTCCTAAGTGGCAAATTCTATCAATATTCTGCTCTCTGCCAGATTAGTTATGAGGGCTAGATCTGGAACAGGATTCCACTCAAAGTAATCACGTTATTGTTGTTATCCAATGTACTTTTGTCATGCTCTTGAAAGGCACTATAACGCTGCATTGCTGAAGACTAAATGAAGCTAATTAGTATAACAATTGTTCATTCTACTGGGCATGACTGAAACACATCGAGGACTATGGGAAATAAGTATTTGGCTGGATTATAACATTTGTGACTAGTATCTATGCAGCTTTTTGATGTACTGTCATTAAACCTGCTGGATATTTGTCCATCACTGGATGAACTAACAGTAGCAAACATTAATGTAGGCAACATCTTTTTATTATAGGCTAATGGTTGTCATGGTAATGCGTAACTCCAAGGTGTATCAAGTGGTTGCTTCAGGGAGTTTACAGTCTTGGTGGAGGCAATAAAGGCATGGCAGATGACAACAGAAAAGAGCACAATTCTGAAAACTTGATTTCAAGGGTCTTTAAATTGACTTGTGTCTTACTTTACTGCTGTTGTATAGTTTCATCTTTGTCTATTCTCTAAGTATACAGAATTACCTTTTTTATACTAAATTTTTTTTATTAATAAAGATTTAATCAATATTTTGTCTGACTTATTTTTGGCCTCCAAAAGCAAAATGATGTTCTATGTTGCCTGTGGTGGAAATGCTGTGTAGATTTGGGTTTTCTGTTTTGAATGTATATTTATTTATTTATTTTTAAACAAATTATTTGAAAAATTTAAACCCCCCTCAAAAGTCTATGTTGTGTGTGCATCACATTCTTCCTTTAGTCACTTTAAGGTCTGATGTGACTTTGAAAAGGAGTGCAAACTAAGAAAAAGCCCCTACACCTTTTTCTATAAAACAATGTTGTACAGGAAGAAAGACAACACAAGAATAGTTACAAGAAGATGACTGAGACTCTCTTTGAAGATCTCTCTTGAAATCAAGAATGCTGTAACCTTATTATTATTGCACATGTGAAATATGTGATTCAGGAAACACTGTGGAAAATCAGTGACAAGTTTCCATATTACTCACTGAGCTTAAACTGCTTCTGTCCTTACAGAGTCAAAACTTGGGGTGCAGAACAGGCTTAAAGAGCTGATAAGCTGCTAAAACCCACAAAAGCTCCCCTGAACCAAAACACAGTTATTTTTCAGGGTGAGGGGAAGAAGGCTGTATGTTGCTTGCTTTCATCTGCTTAGGCTCTATGAACAACTTGTTTTTGTAATGGCAACAATGTGATAGAAATGCCATCCTCATGCCATCCACATCCTCTGCTGCTGTGATCAGCTCAGCATTTGGGCACCCCTGCCAACTCACAGTGGTCTATGCCAGTTCTTCAAAGTATGCAATGGGTCAGCTCATAAATTAATATCTAATGTTGCTGTAACAAACTCCTGAGAGGATATGGGTAAACAGAACATGAAAGTGCTTGCAAACAAAGGGCTACAGTTTTTTATGTCCAAGTAATAGGGAAATGTTAGTTTTCTTGATTTAAGTGCCAATTCAAAGCACTTTTGAGAGGAGGGGAAAGCCAAAATTTAATTGATTTAAAGAGAAGCTGAGGTAAATAGGAAGGGGAAGCTATATTGTATCATTTAAATGTCACTTAGAGTAAGGAAAACAGGAAGACAGTATCATTTCATGTGCCAGTCTGGCCAAGACAGTACAAATGTTTGATCAGTGATTAATTGTAATAGAAAAGAAACACTTTTCTGCTTTTTGCTGTTATAAGGTCTATAAGTAGAGATCTATTTTAAGTTAATCTGTACATTGTTATCCATCTAGAAAAAAGTGAGTTTTAGACACAAGAATTGTGCTAGCGTGTAAATACCAAGTTAGATCCAACTATCATAACCAGATTAGGAGTGGAAAGCTGGCCTTGAGAAAGATTTTTCTTTTCTTTACCTTAAGCACATATATAGTAATAATACGTAATAATAGATTTCCTTTTCTTTTCTAAAAGGAAATTTAAGTCATAGTGCCCTGGTCCTAGTAGTATCGTATTTAAAAGTTAAAATAGAATAAAATTCTTGTACCATTTGTTTTGGTTCAAGAAGGATGAAATCTGCTGCTCTGCACATTTAGAGAGAGAAATTCATAATAATGAATTTTCCCTAGTTGTTATTTGAAAGAAATACTGTAAAGTTACATTTCTTTCCTAGAGTTTTCTTGCCTGTATGTGAGGTAAGCAATACTGTATATTGTGGATGGACAATAGTGAGGATTAACTCTAAAGACTGGAGCTATTTCAGTGAAATGGGATTTTTTAAAAATAAACTTACTTTTTATGCAGAAGCAAGAATGATAAATGGACCGAGGTACATACAACAGATTTTCAATATAAGAATGAAGAGAAAATCTAACAGCAAATCAAACTAATTTTGAGTTCTTAGGAGTAAGTAATATCCTTGTAATTTTTTGGTTAGGGTTACTTCTCTTTGTGGTATTGCAACATCCTGATACTTGAAAATAATTGCAAATCCCTCTTCATTTTTTGTTCATGATCTTAAATAATAGTTCATTATTTCTTCTTGAAAGAAGACTCTCTATTATTGTCACTTCTCAACTCTTCTATGAAGGAAAACCCAAGCAGGATTTACTCAGACATTTCTACCAGGATTAATATTGTTTGCAAAACATTTCTCGGGTTATTGCACATACAGCTGCTGACTGAAAATTTTGACCATGACCATGTTCATTGCCCTGGCTGACTCTTCATTGATGGAGGGATTCTGTCAGGTTTCTTTTGTCATGCACTCTGTCGTATGCCATTTTAAGCTGTTCTGGCAGTAGCAGATGTGAAATATACTTTTTATAATCACTAGAAGATAGGTTTTTGTAATAGAAAGAAGCTATCACTACTAAAGAAGAGAATCAGATCATTGTTTTGGGAGGGAGTTGTGAAAAACATTTTTTCCTTTTTTTTCCACTTCCATCCCTCTCAGAAACTGCAGAGAAAGAAATTGCTGTTTCTCAGCCCTATGAAAAAAGAGAAGATTCAGGTCCCACTTACAGTCCTTGATGGTATGTTCAGAGACACTCTATTGACTTTTTCTCAAAAATAAAATTATAAAAGTGCTTTTAGTCAAAATGGCAGAGCATGATCTGTACAGGGATATAATGTTAGAGCGGCTCATAAATGGAATAAAAAAGGGCCTCTACACTCAAAAAGTTGCTTTTCTTAGCTATGTCAACCATTGTGTCTCCTTCAAACTCAACCGTCTTTAGCATCAACAAAATCAATTTTCATTTGTACCTGCAATACAGAAGACATAATCTCACTCACTTGTTTAGTTGAAGTAACACCCCTGGGTGCAAGATAAAACTTTTTTCGGTTAGGAGAACTAAGGTACAGATTGATGTCAGCCACCCTGTGAGGATCATCTCCAGGACAGACTGAAGCCTGGATGTCCAGGAGAAATCCAGCCGGACTGGAAGTAGCTTTTCAGAAAGGTATTCTGATTTTGTTTCCCCTTCTGTTTGTTTTGGTTTGTTTTCTGTTGCTCTTTTGGCACAAAGTGAAAAATCACTTCATCCTGACATTGAAGTAGTGAGGGATGGAGAGTGTGTAAAACAGCCTAAAAGTAAAATAGAGTAAAATAAATTTTTTTGTGGTTGATCACCTTCATCTTTACTGATCTTTCCCACTGGTACCAACTTGAATTTCTCTGTGAACAGCAGGCCAGGTACTAGTCAGAAATGCACAACCTAAATAACAAGTAAAGTTTTAAAGTGCTGATTCCAGCTTCTCTTCAAGGATCTCTCTGAAGAGGTTGCATGATTTTGTTTAATATCCAGCTACACCAACTTCAAGCAGTATTTCAGCACGGTAGAAGTGGATCAATAGGTGGAAGCAGCTGGAAATGCACTTTTTGCTTCTGTGAATCAAAGCTAAAAGCCAGGTTCCCAGAGTGTGTTTTGGACTCTAGTTTACAGACCATTGCTAAGTGATCCAAAAGAGAAGGAGAAAGAGCAGTATTTCCTGGCCTTTGGTGAAGTATTGGCATGGCATCAAAATGTTAGCCAGTTTGAAATCTTGGATCCTGAACTGCCACCCAATTCACTTTGAAATGAAATTTGATGAGTAAATTCCTTAATATCTCAAAAAAGAATATGTTTAAAGAATTCTACTTATTGCAACTAAATACTTGTCCAACTAAAAACCCACATTTTTTTAAAATTTTATTTTAAAACAGCTTTTAATCCTCTCTTTGATAAAATGTATTGTACATTTTTTTGTTTTAATTCCATTATTACATATTATTACATTACATAGAGACTAGCTTCTTCATCTTGAAAAAACAACATCTTACACTTTGAATAGAATTTTGGAACCTATGGAAGATTCTTACACTAAACCTAGTTTGGATAGAAAATATCTTCTAAGAATCTATAAATAAAGTCATTAAATAAAGTTTCACTGTTTCATAATAGTCCAGAAGTGAAAGAATGATATTAGGGGTAAAATAAAAAATGAAATAAGTGTCTTTAAATAGGTGTTTTCCCAACATATTTTAAGCAGGTTAATTAAATGCTGCCATGACTCCAGCTCTGACTCACCATACATTTAAGTTCAGATGAAATCTGGAACCACCACAGCATCACACTGACGGGATGTGTTACTGGCTATACAATATCTCCATGGCAGTAACAAATTGAGTGGAGTATTGCATGTAAGAAGCAAGGTAACTGTATGTTTTATGTATTAATACCTTCAAATTATGTTACAATGAAATGCCTGCCTGCAAAATTCAAAATCTATTTGTGAGAAAAACAAACCAAAACAAAACACTGCAACAAAAATTTCTTCCTCCTTCATATTTTGTACTTTCCAGAGACATAATTTTCTTGATGAAGTATTACTTCCTTTGTATTTCTTTCTAATGTGGCTGCAAAAGACTGACAAACAGAAATACATTTTGCAAATAAATTGTTACTTGAACTGCTAGTTCTATTTGGTGTTGTAATTATTATCCTAAATTAATTTTTCGCTTTTACTGTTTAATGTATCTCGTGGGGAAGTTGTTTTTCTGTGTGTCTGTCACTGTACTGTGAATTTAACTCCTTTTTTGTCTGGAGGGGGCACCTTTATAATAGAAATACTTTTTAAACACCTACTCACCACTAAAATAGAGCTCCAGTAACTAAACCAGTCAGCTCAGACCTTCTGAGATAAATGTGCTTAGGCTGTAGCTCTCTCATGTAAGGATTGACTTTTATTCTGCATTTTTACAACATAGCATTGGCTATTAATCTTGAAAGGCATCAACTGCTTGGCATTATAAAAT